CGGAATAATCAGTGAGTTTCCCATCAATTTCTTATTTTCACAGTGCACAATAAAATCAACCAAAATCCAAACATATACATAAAATACAAAAAATCCAAAAATGATAACCCCAAACAAAACAAAAAATACAAATCTAAGTAAATGCATGATCGGAGAACCAGAGCTGGAGGACCAAACAGCCAAAATAAATCTCAGAAAATAAGAATTCGAACAAGGCACGGAGCTGGAATAAAATTACCCAGAAAATAAGAATTCGCACAAAACAAAAATTTCAAAAACCTAGAAATGTTGCTAACCAGAGTTAGCTCAGAGATATGGAGATAGAGAGAGCGCTTACTGGTGAATGTATTATTCGGCTTCTAGAGAGAGAGAGAGCGGGAGCGAAAGTGAGTGAAATATTTGGAGGCAGAGCGCGGACAGAGAGAGAGAGAGAGAGAGAGAGAGCGCGCGGTGGCTGTGTGGTGGTAGGCCGGTGGTGGTAGACAGTCAGATCACTTCTAGATGAGAGATGAGGGCCGGTGGTGGTAGACAGTCAGACTCAGATCACTTCGATGGATGGAGGAAACAAATGAAAGGAAAGAAAGAGTACCATATGACCTAAAAACAAATCAACGGCACAGATTAAATCCAAAATAATCAACGGTTGAAATAATTCTTATAATTAAAAAATAATATATATATATATATAATTTTTTTTTTCGGTTCGGTATGGGAATACCGAAAAATGGAGATGCAATACCGAATCCCATACCGAAAATTTCGGTTTGGTTCGGGATTACATCCCGAAAACTTCGGGAATTTTGGTTTGGGATCGGGATTTTTTTGGTTTGGTTTGGGATTTTTGGGATTTTTTTCCAGCCCTAATTATACATACTTATTACTCTCAAATTCTACAAAATTTACAACTTAATAAAATCCTATAAAATCTTTAATTTTTTAATACACCTGAATTTGGATAAACTCTAAAAATGTCTATTAAAATCTCAATTGACTATACTAGGATTTGCATAAGTTACAAAAATCCTTTAAAATCTTTTAATTGACTACACTAAGATTTTAATTTTTTTTTTTTTGAAATTCTCTCAAATTCGAGTTTGACTAATCTTAAATTACAAATTGTGGGCTTGCCAAATTAAAGAAGTGTTAAGTTCCAGAGAAAGGGAAGATAAGAAACGTCCCCACCATTTGCAATTATTACCTAATTGGTATAGGATGCGAAATGATCACAATAATTGGTATAGGATGCGAAATGATCAGAAAGTGTCTTTCCCGCACCCTCAAATAGATAGCGAAGGATGGTTATCTTTCTTAACACCACCACGTAAAGTCATATATGGAAGGTTCAAAGTTCACAGAGAGAAGAAAGTAAAAGTTTACTGATAAGCTTTCCAAATTAATTGGGAAAAGTACTCACATGAAGCCGCAGTTCTTATCTAAATTCATGTGGACTATGTAAATTTGGACCCCATGAATTAGAACATAGGGCGAGTAACAAATGCAAGGAATCCAACGGCCTGACAGAGGCACACCGGTTTAAAATGGTTTAAAATAAAGTGTGAAGGCAACGTTGACGACAATAATTCGTGGATGCAAATCACTTCAAATACTATGGACGTGAACCAGGACGAACCCAGAAATATGTATAGATGGGAGTATTGTTAAGCAACAAAGTCACAAAATAAAAAACTAAAGAATTTACTAAACAAATACTTATATATTAATCTATAAGATTTTTCATACAAAATATAATACCCCTTGACGCATGTTCATGATTTGAAAGCATTGCATGACAACTTAATTACCAATACCATCAAATATCTCTTTTATATAAAATAACCATGTTATCATCCATCTATTGATATCCTATCTGATTTCTCAATCGATTCTTCAAAAATTTCATGGCAAAAAATGCTCTTTCAACTTTGGCAATTGCAATTGAAAGAGTTAATGCTAATGTCACAAGCAAGTAAACAAGTTATACACCTTACTAATGTCACAAGCATGTACATTTTTTTGTTTGCTAAAAAAAATTGAGTGGGCGCATCCACCCCCTTTGAGCCCAAGGTGGCTCCGTCCCTGGACGTGAACCATCTCAAAGCAAAAAGTTCAATGGACTTCCTAGTTTAAAAGTGTTTGGACTCGTGCCATGTCAAATTTCAAATGGCACAAAGCCACATCAAGTCTCAAGTGGCACGAAGTCACATCAAAATCTCAAATGGCACGAAGTCACGTCAAATCTCAAATGGCACCTATTCACATCAAGTCTTAAATGGCACGAAGCCGCGTCAAGTCTCAAATGGCACGATACCACGTCAAATCTCAAATGGCACGAAGCCAAGTCAAGTCTCAAATGGCACAAAGACACTTCAAAATTCAAATGGCACAAAGTCGTACCAAATCTCAAAAATTATACAAAATCATTCAAATTTCAAAATGGTACAAAGCCTATTCTAAATCCAAAATGGCACAAAGCCAATTTAAAGTCCAAAACACGACATAGCCATCCCAAAATCATTTGTAAACTATGCCAGTTTGATTCTGCCAAGAATACGTAGGCAATCTAGTTCATATTGCAGATGCAACCGCAAAGCCCCAAATACAAAATCTTTCCTTTTTAGTGGTCATTCAGTCGCTAAAAATCCGAATCCATTCTAAACTACATTAGGTTTGATCATGCCAAGGGGATGTAGGCAATCTAGAGATTCAATCCAGATGCAACCACGCAAATTCACCATCAAATCTAAATCGAATCCTTAGTTCAACTCAACCAAATTCACACAAAATCCAAAACCAAATCCCTTATTCATTCAACCAAATTCACCACAAATCCAAATTGAATCCCTGGTTCATTCAATCAAATTCACCACAAATCTAATTAATTTACTGACCACATCTCTAACAAAGGTAAAACATTTACTGTGGTTATCAAAATGACCAGTAAATTTGGTACGAGTAACATTATTTTAATTGTGTTTATTGTGAAAATTATAGGATGACTCGTTGAGTGGTGAGGACGCATTGGTCGATATAGCGACGAAGAAGAATCTAAAGAGGTTTGTGGAGATTGGGGAGGCACTATTGAAGAAGCCAGTGTCACGAAGCACTGGTCAATTTTGCTAAAAACCATCTCAGAGGGAAGGAAGCTCAAATAAAACAATTCGAAGCCCAATAGAGACAGCAATAATAATTTTTTTTTTTTTTTAATCTTTCATGTTCATGAATTCAATTTCAAATTTTAGTTGAAAATAAAGAATTACAACATGTACACGTACAGGAAATTCAACGGATTCATTCAAATTATAATAAGTATTATGATACAATAAAATTTGTGACACTATGTCTTGTAGTTTGGCTTATTTGTACTGTCAATTGATAAGTGGTGAGGAATAAATTCAAACTCAAGATTAGGTGTGGAAAAAAATGCTAACCTCCAGAACTACAAGCCAGTACTACTTTTCCTGCTTGGCTTTGTATCTTCTATTTAGTACATCCACAAAATATTTCCAAAACACTATCAAACCAATCTCCTAAATATCCTAAAAACAAAACAAAATATTCAAGAAAAAAGGAAGTCGAGAAAGACCTAGCTATGGGTGGATGATATAAAGGAAAACAATTCTAAGCTATAAAAGTGTATTTTGGTGTCTACCAAACAAGAGATTCTTGCATACAACTGGCCGCATGTAACAACAAGATCATACTTGTGTTATTGGCCACATGAACACGTGGTTTGGCGGTCGTGCACTAGATTTTCTTCCAACAGATGACATTAGACAAAGGTAATATATAGGACATTTCTTCAAACAAAGATCCGGTGACAACAAAGTACAGCTTGGAACATCAATTTTGAATCTATCTATAATTTTGAAACATGTCTTGATTGGAATTCCCACCAAACAAAAACATTCACAACTTAAAACAAAAGCAGAAGCAACAGATCACAAATAACAAAACCTGGAAAAGGTTGCTCTATAAGTAAACGATGAAGGCAAATGATCAGGCAAAGGTTCCCGAACACCCAAGTGCGAAGAGCGTATGGAGCTGTACGACAAGCGAATAGCGCAAAGCTACTTCTGCAAATCGAAAGAGTGGGACGAAAGCGAAGACAAAATGGGGTCTAAGATGGCAGAACTGATAAAGACCAACGAAGAGATCAAGAAAGCTAAATAGAGCACCATGCAGGCGTGGATAGACTTCAGGCCTCTCATTGATGAGCTTGAACTGCTGAAATATGGCCTTGCATGTACTGATAACCGATGTGACACACCCAGCATCATCTCAAACCTTGAAGCATAGCTTGAGACGACAAACAAGAGCATCATATCCAAAAAGGAGGAACAACACAAGGCGACGATAATGATCAATGGAATAAATCAGGCATTCGATCAAACGCGTCAAGAGATGAAAAGGTTTAAGTGCGATGCAGATGAAGAATTACAAGCAAGATCAAGACTGAAGCAAGGCCTTCTTATGAGGAGACAGACTTTGTGAACACTGTAACTTGGACTTGAAGCTGTACAAATAGAAAAAGAAGCGCTTGTTGCATCGGAAGAAAAAGCACTTAAATACATAAGCTGTTCACAGATGGAGAAAACCATCATCCGTCTCACTTAGGAAGTGTACCATGCCTTGGCCAAAAGAGCTCAAGATGAAAATTTTCTTTCAGACTGGCGTGTTTTGGTTGCATCAGAATAGAAGCTCGCAACGGAGGCAAGCAGAAACAAGCTTTGGAAAAGTTGAACAGATTACTCTCTGAGAAAATATCCAGAGAAGGGGAAATACAAGAAGAAAGTATAAGTGGAGACGGACACAATGGAGATCCAAGAAACAGGACAGGAGGCCAAAATACTAGAGATTATATGCTCCCTCAAGCTCGGAACAAGGCAATTTCCAAGACAAATCAGAGAAACCCAAGATCAAGAAGCAACAACAAGAAGTTGTCTACAAAGAAAAAACCATTTGTAGTGCAAAAAGTAAGACAATATTTTGTAAGAAAGATAAAAGGGCTGTTCGAAAGATTTCATACAAATTCAGAACGTAGCAATCAAGTTTTGAACAGCAATAAAGTCATATGTGCTAGTCTAACAGAAGGCGAAAACACTTGGAACAAAATTTGATTTAAGCTAGAGTATTCTGATTTTCCCTCAAGTCTTCTGCTAGTTGTCTTGCCTTTCCTACAAAGCCTGAAAAACGAGCAAGCTCCATCATAAATTGAGCAAAGATATTAACCTATTTCAAAACTGGGTTTAATCTTTACTGCTACGACAATAAGAAAACCAACAAATGATCAGATCAATAAGATCAAGAAAGGAAGTTAATAATCTTGCAGAAGACAAAGGTATCCTATCTGGAATCTCACAAACATTAAGGGTTGAATACAAGAGCCTGACCATTTGCAATATGACAAAAGGGTAAAAGTTTGATACCTGATATATCCTAGGGGCCAACTAAGACTTTTAACAGAATATTTTAACCAGTTGACATTGCCAAAGGAATCAAAATTTATCCATACTATGTACAGCCTCTGCATAGCATAAACAATAAACTCAGCCCCAAAATTGGTTGATAACAAAGCAATACTGATAGAAACAAACTTACCATGTGACTGCGTAATCAATGAAACATTCTTGAATATGCTTTTTTTTCTTGCTCAGACCTATTAGCAACCTGTGGAGATTTTTTTTTGCTTTCAAATCTTATAGGAAAGGAAAGGAAACAAAGCAGCATCCATTGTTTGGCGAGAAAATAAAAAATGAAAAAAGTTCACTAACCTTCTTCTTAGCAACCAGAAGCTCTTTCTTAATTCCTCCTAAAAAATAGAAAACATCATGAAAGGTCAGGAATCTATCATTGATGGTATAATGTATAGTTGGTCTTGGTCATCCACTCTGAAAGCATAGGGTTTAATTATATAGTTATAACGAATAACAACAAATATTTAAAAAAACAACCACAGTCAAGTTAATGTCTATTGAGGTTCCCACAAATATGGTTTGCCGTTGGGAAAAATGTGCAAATTTATCGTAACTAAAATTCTGGAAGGATAAAACATATAAAGCATTTGAAAGATTGGCATAGCAATCCTGTAACAGCTCTCTGATCTCAAGAATCTGAACCTTGGCAAACTTTAACGATTACAAGAAAGAATAACCTAGTTGGATAGTTCATAAAAGAACCTACTTTTCGGTATGAAGTTAGATAAATAATCTAACACTACTGACCATCATTTGGTTCCAACTCTAGTGCCTTCTTGAAGCTTTCAACTGTAGCGTCAATGTCATTGAGTGCCATATAGGTCTGCAGGCAGCAAGATGCATAGAAGTCAGATCATAAACAGCAGCCATAAAGCATTATAAATTCTTTTCTTGCCAATTAAAGATTATTACCTGGCCTTGGCGAAACAAAGCCTTCACATTGTCTTCCCAGTCACGCAATGCAAAGTCAGTGTCCAACAATGCTCCATCTAGGTCTCCTAATTTCAACCTACAAGCCTGAACAGAAAACTCACATATCAATCAATTAGATAATAAAGGGAAAAGCTGTTCTTTTTAGTTGATAACAGTGAAATCAAAGTACCACAAAAGAATATACAATACTCTTGAACATAATCAAGCTAGCCTTTGGAGAAGTATTCATAGTTATCTTCTAGGTATCACAGAAACTGACAAGTGATGGTACTTTTCATTTTGTCCAGCAGGTTAATTTGAATGTGATTAAGTTACTGTTACACAATTTCGATGTCTATCACTACCACTCATAAATGTACAATTTCTGCAATAGAGATAGCTCAACAAATTGTCATTTACATTTTACACTACTGAGCTGAAGATATTGGTTTACCTATCCATACATGTAATTTTGTTTTCATTTCAAGAAGGTTTCTTAGAGAATTCATTTAACATCAAGTGCTTTCAAATTTGATACATGAAAATTCTTACTGAGCTATTAGTAAATATCTGAGACTTTGTCTTTCGCAAAGAGGAGTTCGCTTCTGTACAATAAAAAAGATAAAGTCATAAGATGATGAAACAAAGTAAAGGACACTCTATAGTGTAGAGCAAATGGTATACCTTCATCAATTTCTTCCAGCTCCCAGCATATATCCACGTAGCGCAAAGCCTTGCGATACTTTCTAAGGGCCATCTTATAGTCTTGCTTCTGGATAAAGATCAGAAATCATACTATTGGGTATTCGTGAATGAAATGTATGACATAATTTACCATAGTTGTGATATTAAATGCAATATCCCAATACCTTGAACTGTTGGTTTCCAATGGCCTTAATAGCACCCACAGCCGTGACCCACCAAGAAATGTCATCTGGTTTTGTATCAAGATCAACAGGCCAATCAGGATAAACATCACAATCTTTGAAGAAGTTACACACCCCCTCATCTGCTCTCTCAGGAAGCTGCCCACAATCCGAAATAACGACTTCTTCGATGTGCATGTCGCCATCTTTCATGTTCAAATGTTCAACCGAACGAACCACGCCCATGCCCTTGATCACCTTTCCAAACGCAACATGTTTCCCATCAAGATGGGAAGTCCGAGTGGTGGTAATGAAAAACTGAGAGCCATTGGTGTCAGGGCCCTTATTAGCCATGGATAGCATCCATTTTCTCTCATGCTTTATGTCAAAGTTTTCATCTTCAAACTTCAACCCATAAATCAACTCTCCCCCGCTGCCATTTCCTGCCGAAATGTCTCCACCTTGTATCATAAAACCTCTGATAACGTGGTGAAAACAAACAACCTGCAACAAGATGCAATGCAATTCTTATTGCAACTCCATCCCATTAACAAAATTACAAATCAAAAGAACAAAAACCCACCAATGTAAAAATCAAAAACCTACCAATGTAAAAATCAAAAGAACAAAAACCCACCAATTTAACAATAGAAAAACAAGACCCCACCAGTGTTACAATGCAAAAACCAAAACCCAACAATGTAACAATCAAAAGACAAACCTAGAAATAAAAATTGAATCTTTTGACGAGAGAGAAAGAGAGAAGGACCTTGTAATACAGAGGAGCGTTGGTGTGGGGGCCAATGCCCCTCTCACCAGTGCAGAGAGCTCTGAAATTCTTAGCTGTTTTGGGGACAATGTCATTGTAGAGTTCCACTACTACTCTTCCTTCTAGCTCTCCTCCAATGGTTATGTCCAAGTAGCACCTTGGCCTCCCCATTTGTGAATAACCCAGAAGAAACTTAACTAAAATAAAAAATTGGAAAAGGGGAAAACTTAAAACCCTAATCCCGCTTTTATAAATTTGAACTGGTTCAAGTTCGCCGCGAGACTCGGTGACTCAGTGAGACCAGGTTACCTTCATAGTTCACAGTCTTCTAGACTGTGCCTATGAAATATCCGTCTCGTTGAGTCACCAAAGGCTGGTGGGGAGGTGTAGGCGGGTTAGATGTGAACGGAAATGTTAGCGCTATGATCTAATGATTTTTTTTTTAAATTAAACACTTTATATTTGATTTTCATTCGAAACAAATTTGAATTATATTATTGCTAGTTTAGCATAGCCTACCCTCTTCTACAAGAAGATGTGGACGAACACTGACTCCTATAGGGGCAGGACACTGCAGGGTATTTTGGTTGCTGAAGAGAGGTCAGTGGAGATGGGTATTGTTGGAAAGTAGTGAGATTTGACTGAAGATATTTGGGTGCAACTCACTGTACAGGACTGTGTGCGCGCTTCTTTGGGTGGCAATGGATCGTGCTCGGGTTTAATCGTATTGTGTTTGTGCTTTAATGTTTATCGTGTTTGTGCTACCTCTTGAGTTGACATTTGTTGATGCACAAAATCAGCGAAGACTTTGGTACAACAGAAAGTGTCAGGTTTTGTGACCTTCGCTTGGTTGCTTGGTTGCTTCAGTCACTAGTGAGGATAAGTACGTAAATGAATAGAGACAGAGAAGCAAACACAGGATGTACGTGGTTCACCCAGATTGGCTACGTCCACGGAGTAGATGAGTTCTTATTAGTAGTGAAGGGCTTACACAAGTACAAAGGATCAAGCTCTCAATTTAGTGAGTTCTTGTGAATGATTTAACACAAAATGGCATTAGGCCATATTGTGGGGGAATGACCCCTATTTATAGAAAAACTTGTAGCTTTGTCACATTGACATGTGTCATGTTTATGATTGGTTCTTGATGTTGACACGTGCTGCGCTCTGATTGGCTTCTAATCTTGACACGTGTCGAGTAGTGATTGGCCTCCTGGTCGGAGGGGAACTCTTCTGGGTCCTTGACAGTATAGCGTTGGCCGGTGCTCGGTAGTTTCGGGATTGGTCAAGTATGGTACAAACAGTGCTCCCCTAAGTTCCCGAGTGAGGGAAACTCCTCGGTTGGGGACTTGCAAGATCCAATCCCTTGAGTAATCACGAAACTTCTAAGTACCGAAGTGTGGTCTGATCTTCATCTGCCCTTCTCTGGAAGTACTTTTCCTCCATCCGGGAATGGTGTATTTAGCTGATGTTGACGCACAAGGTAATGTATCAATTTCACTTGAAGCTTAGTTGTAGTTTCGGGCTTAGTCAAGTGTGATACAAACCCTATAGTAGGAGTCCCCCAAGTCGCCGAGCTAGGAGATCTGCCGAAAGAGGTGACAGACAAGGTAAGCAGTCAAACTTCCAAGTAAGCAACCCAGGATCAGAGGTTTGACTTCGGCTTCCGGTTGATTGTTCTCATTCTCCTTGTCTCTCATTCAACTGCCAGGATAAGGAGAAGCAAATGGATAAGAGATGATATGAGATACTTTTGCTTTTGAAGAAGTAACTTTCCACAGGCTTATTCTTGAACTGTGCTGGAGGGTTTTCTGGTGCCCTTCAGAGTATAAGGCCGACTCAAAAATTTGAGGGTCAAAACAAGTCCATCAAATCTAGAGTACGTTCGACCTTGATGATATGGGATACTTTTGCTGTTGACGGAATAATGAATGTGGTATGGAAAGGTGTCGTGCTGTAGTGATCTGTTTCAGCTCACCGTTGAACCTTCTGCTTCAATCTTTTGCATGGCAGAAGTGGTGTGCAACCTTTGCATTTAAATGGTCCTTCAGAACATTCCTTCATAGTGACTCATCCACGCTTGGCAGCTTCAGTGTAAAGAGCCAATATCTGATCAACTGTCATGAGGTATTTGCCGGTGGAATTCGTGACCTTGACAGCAGTTGAGGATGAGTACTCGAGAGCAATGCTAAGTAAGCAACCAGGCAAAGGCTCCAGGCAGTCAGTTCCAAATTGGAGGTTTGATTTCAGGTTCCGACTGACTGCTCTCTTTCTCCTTGTCTTGCAGGTGTGGACAAGGACAAAGACAAAGATAGGGAGAAAGCATGATATGGGATACTCTTGCTTTCGACCCTGATGATATGAGATACTCTTGTTCTTGGTGTGGCTTATTTGCTGAGGTATTATCGGGGGGAAATAAAGCTGAGTATTTCGAGAGGTTATGTTGAGGGTGCCTTTTCGAATGCGAGAAAAGGGTTGAGCATTTTTGCAGGTTTGCCTGTCCGTTGAGGAGGGAGGTCAATGTATATAGGGATTTCCCAATAACAAGTAGTAATGCTATTCCTTTACCCTTCTTGGTCACAGCAATGTAGTGGGAGCTGCCAGCTTCACGTGTTTTAATTTTGTCAGAGCACTTTGAAAAAGTGGTATGTGGTATCTGGAAAGCTGATGTTACGTGTGAAGATTACAGACAAGCTTTATCTAAGGAAATCTGGCTCTCGAAGTTCTGAGAGTTGTGCCTCTTCGGTTTTCGAACAAGCAATCCCGTCGAGGATCTGACTCTCGAGATTCGGAAAGCGGTGCTACTCCGGTTTTTTAGAAAGTAATTATGTTGGGAGTCTTTTCTCGAATGTGAGTAAAGGTTGGACGTTCTTGCCAACCTGTCTTGCCGCAAAACCCGGAGGTCGACACACATAGGGACTTTCCAGTTGTCAAGCAGTGGTGCTGTTCCTTTACCCTTATGGGTAATAATAGGGTAGCTGGAACTTCGAAATTCTCGTGCCTAAACTTTGTCAGAGATCTTTGACAAAGTTATATGTGGTACCCGAGGAGTTGATGGTGCATATGGAGAGCGGTGATTGAACAGTAAGATTCACGTGCTTTCTACTTCACCAGAAATCTTCGACAGATTGCCCGTAATTTCCGCAAAGCTGAGTGTGCATGTGACAGGTGCTGACGAGGCTAAAAAAACAGGTGCTTCTTCGATTTCTGAGATCGGCCCTCGGGGTCTCTGAGCAGCCCAGCTTTTGAGAAAACAAACGCCTCTTCGATTTCTGAGATCGGCCCTCATGGTCTCTGAGCAGCCCAGCTTTTGAGAAAGCAAACGCCTCTTCGATTTCTGAAGCTCCGTCGAGTGCAGATTTTTATAGAGGCTGGCATTAAGTTCCACAGCACACTTGAATCTCTACCAGTAGAAGCTCATTTCTTGCACTTCTAAGATCTTGATTTGTCTGACCTCTTCCCTCTTCAACACATTTGAAAATGTCTGGACCCTCCGACCGTCGTTTTGACTTGAACCTTGGAGAAGAGACAGCCACGCCTTCTCCAGACAACATATGGCGCCCATCCTTCATATCCCCTACTGGTCCTCTTACCGTTGGGGATTCTGTGATGAAGAATGATATGACCGCTGCAGTGGTGGCCAGTAACCTTCTCACTCCCAAAGATAATAGACTACTTTCCAAACGGTCTGATGAGTTGGCTGTTAAGGACTCTCTGGCTCTTAGTGTTCAGTGTGCAGGTTCTGTGTCTAATATGGCCCAACGCCTATTTGCTAGAACCCGCCAAGTTGAATCATTGGCTGCTGAAGTGATGAGTCTCAAACAGGAGATTAGAGGGCTCAAGCATGAGAATAAGCAGTTGCACCGGCTCGTCCATGACTATGCTACAAACATGAAGAGGAAGCTTGACCAGATGAAGGAATCTGATGGTAAGGTTTTACTTGATCATCAGCGGTTTGTGGGTTGTTCCAAAGGCACTTATTGCCTTCGTCCTCACCTGGTAATGAAGCTTCAAATGATGAACCTTCAATGCCTCCTCCTTCTGGGGTTTTGTCAAGTACTGAGGCTCCGGATAACCACCCTCCGGTGCTTTCTCTTTCTGGGGCTCTACCGACTGCTGAGACTTCCCCTAAGCAACCTTTGTGAAGGCTCCCTTTTGTTTGTTTATTTTGACTCATGTATATGTACATATTTGTGGCTTATCGAAAATATTAATAAATAAGCTTTGCTTCATTTCAACATATTGTGTTAAATACACCAAAGCCTTCTTCATAAAGTTCTTTGAATTTTTGCTTTTGTTGAAACCTGTATTGTTGAAGCTTTGTGAGTGAAGCATGTAGTTTGAGGTAGTGTTCCCTTAATTTCCCGAGTGAGGAAAACTTCTCGGTTGGAGACTTGAAAAATCCAAGTCACTGAGTGGTTGTGAGACTGCCGAGTATCAAGGTGCAGTAGTAGCATATGGTGGGAGTCCCCCAAGTCTTCAGGCGAAGAGAGTTGCCGAATGAGGTGTCTTGCGTGTTACTAATTTGTCAAAGTAACGAATTCTTGTTTTTCGATGTCACACATTCGTATATGCTTTATCTAAAAATATTTCCAACTTTTGTGTGTTTTTTTCATGCTTTTCTTTGGAATTGCTTTTCGTTTCCAAATCAGCCTGAGTTGATGCAAGATAACACCTTTCGCTATAGCTCAGATTGCAAAGTTGTCTTCATGTTTTTCCTTATCTTGTGAACTACAACATATCCAAATTTGAGATCCATCGGAGTAGTACAACTTCAGAAATTCAAGTATGATGAGTAACTGTTCATCAATGTTCTGTTAATCCGTCAGACTTGTTGTGAGCTTCGAAACTCCATTTTCTCTTGGTCAGATATCTTATCGAACTTCCCTAACTAACATATCCAAATTTGAGTCCCTCGAGATCCAAAATCGGAGAGTACATTCAGTCTTCAGTATTTGATTTGAAACTGTTCAATCAGCATGTTGTCTGTTGTTCTCCGTCAAACCCGTTGTTGTGAAGCTTCGAAACTCCATTTTCTCTTGGTCAGATCAACATGCTTTCTTCATTGAAGTTGTTCCTAAGCTTGTGAACTACAACATATCCAAATTTGAGATCCCTCGGAGCAGTATAACTCCAGAAATCCAGGTATGATGAATGACTGGTTTATTTTTCTGTCAACCCGTCAGATTTGTTGTGAGCTTCGAAACTCCATTTTCTCTTGTTCAGATCGGTATGCTTTCTTCATTGAAGTTGTTCCTCATCGACTCTTTCATAAACATATCAAAAATTCAGGATGAACTAACGGTTAAATATTTCCAGATCTTCGAAACATCACAACAGCTTCGAAATCAGCAAGAAGCCGACTATCATGTTTGGAGCTTCAACACTTTAATTTCCGTCGCTCAAACAGAAATGGTTCCTTCTTGAAAGTTGTTCATATGCTCAAGAACTATAGGGTGTCCAAAATTCAGCTCCATTGGAGAAGAGCAGAGGTTGCAGAAATTTGATAGATGAAAGGAGGCGGAAGAGGGAGAGAGATAAAAAGTCTCTTGGGTTGGATTTCTATTTTTGGGGCAGATTCCAATTTTTGTAGCACCTTCATTATTGATGAATTGCTTGTACTTTTGTCCATTATGAAACTTGGGACTTTGGCTTGTTGTTGGATCTATTA